CTCTGTGCTCTCTCTGCACTTTCTCTTTTGCTCTCTTTCTCTCCCACTCTCCCCTTATGCTCTCTCTGCTTTCTCTCTGTGCTCTCTCTCTCTCTTTCTCTCTCTCTCGCTCTGATTGAGAGAATGCAGATCAGTCTAATTATGTGTTGTCAAGTCCATTATGCAGGTTCATTAATTGCACCCCTGACATGTGAGAGAGGGGGCAGAGAAGGTGCACAGGAGGAGAAATAAAGGGGGGGGATGAAAGAGTGAGGAATATGCGAAGAGTGTGTGTGTGTGTGTGTGTGTGTGTGTGTGTGTGTGTGTGTGTGCGCGCTGCAGCAGCACCTGTTTTGGCCTTTCTGTAGTCAGGCCTTGGTGAATATGTGAATAGAGAGTAATTACCTCCATAACAGCACCTGTGAGACTCCCTCTTTCTCTCTCCTCTCTCTCTCTCACTACTCTCTCTTTCTCTCTCTTAGCACTCTCTTGTTCTGTCTCTCTCCCCACCTCTCTCACTTTTTCCTTCTCTTCTGTATACATCTCTCTCTCTTTTCCCCTCCCATCTCTCTCTCTCTCTCTCTCTCTGTATAATTTTGATATCAGAAAAAGGCAGAGATAAGCTGTCTTTGCCTTTCACTGATATCAAATATATGTTTTATGTGTGTGTGTGTGTGTGTGTGTGCATTAAAACATAAGAGAGTAAGAAAAAGAGATACAGAATTTTATTATTTTATTTGGTATTCTGACTGCACTGCTGTGCACTGAGGCAGGTAAAGAAGTGGTGTTACAATCGAGAGAGAAGAAGAGAGGGGGTAGATATGAGGTAGTGAGAGACAGTGGGGATAGGGTGGTGATAAAAGAAAGATGAAGTGGATATAGAAGTTGAGAGAAAGATAAGGTAGAGGGAGAAGAAAGAGAGGAAGATGAGGTGTAAAGAGAGGGATAGGGACATGGGTTGAGAGAGAGAGATGAGGTAGAGAGAGACGGAGATGGAGTGGAAACAGAGAAAGATGAGCTGGATAGAGAGAAAGAGGAGAGAGAAAGATGCAGTAGAAACAGAGAGATGAGGTAAGGAGACAGGGAGTGAGGTGGATAGATGGAGAGGGGGTGTGGTAGGGAGAGATACGAGATACGAGAGAGAGGTGAGGTGGAGTAAGAGAGAAAGAAATGAGGTGGAGAGAGATATGGAGAGAGTTAAGGTGAAGAGAGAGAGAAAGAAAGAAAGAGAGATATGGTTGGGGAAAGTACCTCTGCACCTGTATTTGGGATTAGAGTCAGTCAGTGAACTTGGAGAGAAAGAATGCAAGACATTCTGTGCAATTAAATGACAAATTCACATTAGTATAGCGGTTCAACTTTGTCTTGAATTATGTTTATAAGGGCTTCTCTTGACCAAGTGGCAAAACACATAGCTGAAATTATGCACCGTGAATGCTGTAAAAGTCTCCTCTGAATGCAGAAGAAACCAACAAATGACACCTGCTGAGCTGAAGCAGAATGGCTACTTTTGCTACTATTACACAAATTCTACTCAAAAAAAGGATTATTATACTATAAATATATAAAATTATACTGTGGATACTGTCCCTGTGCCCCCTACTCCAATCACTACAAAACCCTGCAGTGCCAAGAGCTGAGAAAAGAAAAGATTTCTCTCTCACAGCTGGCCCTGAGTTCACTGAAGGCCGTTTCACATGTGCACTTTTACACAGGAGTTTAACGTAATTAAACGGCAAGGGGTTAAATGTCAACACAAGCCAGAGTCAAAATCCCAGTAAGACTGACGCAGCAATTTATCTGCAGAGACCTACTGCAATTCCCAGTACAATTGCAATTGAGACCTGGAACATTGTTTGTTTCCCTAATTATGTATTTTTCTGTAACTTCATTATTATCTTCAATCTAAACTGCTATTTTTTACTTGTAATCATTGCTGTTGTAAAAGCTTGTTCTTCTGTGGCAATGCTTGCAGTGCTGGCAATACTGTAACTAAATATGGTCATACCAGTAAAGCTTGCTGGACTGAATTGAACTGGGCTTAATTGAAGAGAGTTGAGTTGGAGAGAGATATGGAAGGAGATGAGAGAGACAGAGAGAGAGATTGTGTTGCCGTAGCTGAGGTTATTTTAGGCTACTCTCACCTACAGAAGATTACTGTGCATGAGAGGACTTATTTCACCTAAGATAGGCTGTATGTATTCTAGTGAGGAAAGTGTACAGTTTGCATATAACGTCTAATAATTTGTAATTTGTGTGTATGTATGTGTGTTATTACATATGTGAACTTATGAACTTACATACTGTGCTGTTGGAACACAACCTCGTATTTCCGTTTTTGTCATTTTTCAGTTTTTGTGTGTAAATTTCTTGATGAATGGACCAAAAAAATGACCCAACATTACTTGAAAAAACATCTGGTTCCATTCGCTTACGTTAAAAGTAGAGTATGTTTTTTCCTTTTATCGTAAAGGTCTCATTTTGGAGATACGGGGTTTTATTCCGAGAACAGCGATATGTGAAACACATAGGTGTGTTTGGTTAGAGATGAGGGGGCGACACTGTGTGTCCCTTAAGGAAAATATGAACAGGTCATGTGATCATATTTCCAGGAAAGCTCAACACAATTGAGAGAAGCACTGTGGGATACCTGTTAGTATGACAAGACTCTCTCACCTTGCTCTCTCATATTCTCACTCTCTCTGTCTTTCTCTGTCTCTCACTTCCTCTTGTCTGTCTTGCGCTCTTTGTCTCTTTTAGTGTCAGTCCTTTTATTCACTTGTGATGCAAGTGGCCAGCACAGAAACACCAAGTACATGCAGTGCTTGAGGCCTTTTGGTGCCCTGCCTTTAACTAATTGTTTTCTAGGAAGTTCTCTAGATTGCAAGAATATGATGCTTTTTGCCTTGTTCTGTAATACTGTGTTCTGCATGTGTTGGTGTTTTCCCTGACGTAACACACTTGACCCAATAAATCTGTTATTTAAAGGTTTGCAAAGCTGCAACAGCCACAGCTGTGTTTGTATTGATAAGGAAATGTTCACATACAGACATTTTTTTATTACTGTTTTTTGTGTTTGAGAACTCAACTACAGAATTGGCTTAGTCAGAATACCCATCCCTAGACTGGTTTAGTGCAGCATAGCGACAACCGAAACAACCAAAATATCTGTGTTAATGGGGTTGAGTTTTATGGTAAGACATACAGTCATATGCAAAGGTTTTGGCATGTTGGTTAAATTACCTTTTTGTTGATTTTGTGAAAATAAAAAGTGAAAATAAGTTAACACATCCTCTACAGAGAGCACACTTTTAAACATTTTAATGCACAGATGCTGTTTATTTGATGATTTGAACATATCGGATGAAAAAAACACATAATGTGGTCTGTTATGGCACTTGTTTTTTGTTGTTCTTCTTTTTTCAGCTTATTTTAAACTGAGAAAATGAATGGAAACTGAACTTATTTTCACTAAGAAAATCAACAAAACAATTTGACCAGGGGTGTTGATGGGTTACAGAGATTTCAAATGAGAGCTGTTCTGGAACCATTGAGGATGAATACATTTTTGGTTGCTGTTTTGTTTCTAGAAAAATATTATTTGTTTGCGGTTTTAAGTTCCTTAGTCCAGTTTGAAGCCCTGATCGTAACACTTTTCTTTCGTACTGTGAAACCTGGTATCAGGGAGGGTCTCTATGCTGAGCATTTCCGCTCAATGATAGGTGGGGATGATGAGAGGGGGATGTGAAACTACTAGTGCATTGTGTTTTATATAAAAATCACAGGACATTTTAGAGATATGCAAAAGGCATTACATTTCAAAGACATTGGGAAAACAAAAATTGTCTTTTAAATTGTGTTTGTTTGTAAACCAACAAAGTATAAATGTCAGTTTTTTTCAAGCTAACTCTAACAAGCCTGTTTTGAAAGTGTGTGCTTTAGAGCAGGGGAACTTTAGAACGAGTGTAGGAAACCGTTGTGCTACTATAATGTAGTCTATACAGAAGCCAGGCAGATTTTTTTCCAGTGTTTTCACTGGTGTCTGCTTCTGCCGCTGCTTATATGAATTATGAATAATTAAGATCTAGTTCAGAGACTTAAAACTGGGGCTGCTAAATTAATGGACTGTAGCACATATTGCTCTGCAGTATGACAGGCTGTATATGAACGATTTCAAAATTACAAAATTACAATTCCAATATTCGCTTGTGTTTGATGCGTACTTACAGGAATTGAGGCTTACCTCCTCAGGTGGGCAGATGGAAAGCTATGGTCTAAAGAAGAGAAGGTTGGGACTCCCCAAAAGCGGTGTCTTTAGATTGTGTCCCAGGACAGGGGTTTTATTAAGTGTAGTCTAATTTGCATTTCAAACCACAATAACAATAGCACAGCCAAGCGCGACAATTCTTCTTGCTCTTCTGTTTGCCTTTCTCATCTTCTCGAAACAGACTGACTCATAGCTTAGACTTTCTGAAGTGTGCATTCGGATTAGATTTCCTAGAAATGTGCATGCATTTCTTTAGAAAGAGATCCTCTCTTCAGTGTCAATCATATTTTTGGTTAGAAAGTGGAGAACATCTCAGTGTCGAACTTCATAGATCAGATAATGCAGGATCTCTGTAAACAATGGGGCAATCTGATCCTTGTGAAGCTTGTGAATACATGAAAACCAGCCACTGTAAATGATACCAGTTAAATATTTTTTTGTCAGGTGTCTTACTTTATTTTGATTGTCCACTGTACTAAATATCTATTAAATTTACTTTTATACAATACTCATCTAAACCTTACCCTGACACTGGTCCAAATCCTAATGCATAAAACATGAACATTGTTTATTGTCAGCTTATTCGCCAGATAGTCTGTTAACGATGTGAGCATATGTAGAAAAGCTACAGGGGACTGTCAAAATAGTGATTTTTGCATCACTCTTGTTGAAAAAAAGTTCATATGTACTACGTGACTTGGCAGTCATTTATCTCATTTTGATCTCTTTTTTTTCCCTCTGTTTCAATTTACAGCTTCAGACAACAGTCAGCGATTTCAAGAAACATGTTTTGCTTTTGCATTAACGCCACAGCAAGTCCAGCAAATCAGCAGTTCAATGTAAGTCCTCTTTCACTCTCTGGACTTGTATCATGCTCACAATAAGACTAGCCTGACTAGCCTAACTAGCCTAATTATAATACAGACCTAACTGCTGACCTTAGTCTGATTGCACATCTCATCTCATTGAATTCTCAGCTGGCCATTTTACTGTATGTGAAATATCATTGTTCTTTTAGCCAAGTTATTTGAAATTAAATTGAAACACTTTAGTTTCTGACTTTTTCACAGTGTTTCACAGATGAACGCTTTAGCTTAAGCTGTGCACTGCATCCTTTTCTAAGGGAGATGCAGGCCAGAAATGCACCTTTCATAAGCTTCCAGAGACGTATGATGTAGAGCATCACTGTTTTCACTGTTTTTGATTATCTTTCATGAATACATTTCATTTACTTTCATTTACTAAGACAACAAATTTAATTTTCTCATTTTAATTTGTAAAACACCAGAAATCCAGAAATCGTCTCTAATCAGTGTTGATCTATTCTGGAAAGTATTTAGTAGTGATTCAAAAATATTTTTCTATTAGTAGGTTTTTGCTGATGGACTCTTTAAAGGAGAATTCCACCGAGTTTTCAAAACGTCTGCATAATTCAGTGGTTGATATGTAAACAAAGTTATTTAGAGTGGTTTGGTGTGAAATATTCATTTCTTTGCAGTGGCGGTGATGGAAACCAGTGGTTGCCATGTCTACACAAATATAGCCATTTTATTTAATAAAACCACCAGTGAAGCTACACATGTCTGAGTTTTATATATAATGTTGATGATTGTAAAGTAGTGTCAAATCTGAAAAAAAAAAATTCTTTGGGGAATGTTTTGCCTTAGAACACCCTTCATGATTCCCTCCACCATGAATAGTTTAAAATAAATTGATTAAAATATGCTTTAGGCCAAAACATAATTACAAAACTATCATAGTCTCAGACGTGAGGCTGAGTGTTTATAACCATTTAGTGTAATAACTTTATGTGAGGGAGCTTTTAGAGGCGGACATCCGGTTCCTATCACCACCACTGTGAACAATTCTGACTTGGTAAGTTTCTCTAGAATGAAGCATTTCACACTAAACCAGTCTGAATGCTGTTGACATGCAAACCGTTTAATTACACAGAAATTTTGAAAAATCAGTGGAGTTCCCCTTTAAGCAGAACTAGGTTGTTTATTCTTTATGCATACAAGTCACATGACACCTCTCAGCATGACTGGAATGTTTATGAAAGCAAGTGCAATTTAAATGTAATGGTATGTGATTTTATCTTTAGGGACATCTTGGGGACCAAATGTGACTTCATGGTACAAGTACAGTTACGGTAAGTAATCTGTATGTTCATGTTGTGCATCTTTATGCGTGTAATAAAAAAACTAAAGCAGTTCTGTATTTCTTAACGGCCAAAAAATGTTTAAGGAAGTCTGTCTCCATCGCTAGGTTTTGCTTATCAGAAACCAGCTGTCCACAGGAAGACCACTTTCCTCCTAACCTTTGTGTAAAAGTCAATGGGAAGCCGTGTAATCTTCCGGTGAGAAATACAACCAAAAATAGATACATATTCTCTTTTTCAATAAAAACAACCAAAGTTACTGACAGTTAAGCTTCACAGTAAAACCATCTAAGGTTAGGCTGCAGTAAGATTGTTATTTAGAGTTATGATTTTGGGAATTGTTTGTCTGTCTGCAGGGCTACCTTCCTCCCACCAAAAATGGAGTTGAACCAAAGCGTCCCAGCAGACCCATTAACATTACCTCACTGGTCAGACTGTCCACCACCGTCCCTAACACCATTGTGGTGTCTTGGACATCCGAGATTGGAAGGGTAGGCTTTGGTCTAAATCCACTAAAGCTCCTGCTCATGTTTGTTAGCAAACAGCTCTGTTTTCGTTTCTCAAAATCCAAGTGCTAGCATTTATGATTAGACTTTCTTCTAGAAGTCTTCCATATCTTCCATACAGTTTCTTGCTGTAGATGTCATTTAATTTAGAGTTTGGAGACTTGATAAGCCCAGGATTAAGCCAACTGCTTTAGTTATGGGATTATGACCGCTTTAGAAAGTTTTGCCTTTCAAGCCATCCTCCCCACAGCGTGTGGGAGCAAATACATTTTTGTCCTCATTCACACAGGTTCATCACAGCTCTAGTAGATTAAAATTGATTATTGCCCTAATAGTGGAGTATTTTCAGGTGTAAAGCTGTGTTTTATGCACATTGCTTGCTTTATGAAGGACAGCAACCTTTTGTCTCCTTTCATCTGTGTTATTCTCTGATCTTTCCCATGTTGTAGAATGACTAAGGGTATTTGGTCTACAGAATGGTTCATATTTTTACACCAGTGAACAGGAAGTCATGCATGACCACATACGAGTTTCGAGTCGCACAGACTCAAGTTTGCACTTTAAAAAGGTCAAATACGAATGGAAATATATGAAGGTTTTACACACACAGTATATCATTGCTGTATTATGAGAAATAACACCGCTACCAGAGATATAACACTTGATTTTTGACAAAGTGCATTCATTATACGTCAGCTGTTATTCTTATCAAAACTCTTCACACACAAATTAGTTACAAATGATTATGCATAAACATTTTGGAATAAACTTATGTGTCAACCCATTTTTATTAAACTTCATTCATTAGAACGTCTAGAAGTGCCAGTAATTGTGACAAATGTGTTTTTATTTTTCTTTGTTTGAATAATTTACCTCACTGTAAGGTTATTTCTCTCATACTGTCATTGTAAGGTCAAGCTGATAAACATTTTTTGTCAGACCAATCTTTGCTCATCTTTTACCAAGGGTGACAGTAGTTTTGGAGGACACTGTACATTTAAGTATATTAAAAAGACTGAAACATACCCAAACAGTCATAGCTTGAAGACGGCTATCATTTGCACCAGAAAATGACACCATAATGAATTCATTATCTTGCTTATTATAAATAAATGCTAATGAAATGAGAAAGTCCCCTGCATTAAAATTACTACTTACTTTTAAGATTAGCCTCCTGCTACTTTATATTTCTCATCAGTTCCCTTATCCACCTGCTTGAACTTAAAGCACGACTGCTCAGGGGAAGTTCTTTTAGCGCTTATGTCATTTATTATCATAAGCCATGTCTGAACTCGCATGTGTTGGTGTTCCAGTGTGCAGTAAATTTTTTGCATTTTTTACTTTAGTGTGAAGAGTGAAGGAACGGAATCTGTGTCCAAAATAACTCAATTTGACCTTTAGTGCAAGAGCTATTAGCTCATGCCCTATATTCTGTGCTGTGTGTCAGATAGGCAAACATTTTGCATTCAGCCAGTGTCATGTGAATTATGCCTGTGGTGGTTGTGAGCTCATTGGTTACAAGCAGCCTGGTGCCCTGGAGCAGACGTGTCCATATGTTTCAGCGGTGAACTGTTGTAGTGGGAATCTAATGCGAATGTGTCAAAACATTAGGGTGTTAAGGTCAGGTGTTTATATGTATCATAATAGTAGGACTTCTCATTAGTAGAATTTCATTACTTGGCATGGCTAAATTGTGAAGTATGAACAATGTGAGTTTTATTGTAATTCAGGATGTACAGACTGGTGACAAATTACAGGAATAATCAACATAAAGCTTCAGTGCACCTTGGCAGAAGTCTCGAACTGTTCTAAAAGATATTCCCTCAGTTAGTGTTTTGATGATGGTGGTAGAGAGCACTCGCTGACCTATCAGTCCAAAATCCCCAGGTTTTCTATTGGATTGAGATCTGGTGATTGCAAAGGCCACAGCATATGATTTACATCATTTTTACATCATTGTCAGTAAAATGTAAAATGTCCCCCATTGCATAAGTCACCGGACACCCTCACTGTAGAGGTCAAGCATTTAGGCCTTGTTCTTTTGGTGTATGCCACACTTGCATTCACCCACTTGTGGAGAATATGGTGAGAATCTGACTCTCATTTTTTGTACACCAGTGAACTCTCAAATGTGCATTTGTCTTTGTAATGAGGGGTTTATGCACTGCTACTCTACTATAAAATCCCTCTCTATGTAATTGGTGACAGACTGTTTTTCTCACACCATCTGAGTACATTCTGCATTGACGTTCTCAGTCACTTGAGTTGCTCTTCTGTTTTTCTTAATGTGTAATAAGCATACATGAACATCACGGTGACTCTTATGACCAAAATTTCCAGTCCATATTTACTGATGTCTTTCACATAGGTTTAAATGCAGATGTCATTTTAGTCATAATTCTTATTAAAATATACAGGCCAGTTAAGCAGACTTTGTGACTGAAGTTCTCGCCATGCGTGTCCCAATGATGAACCTTCTTTCAAAGTCACTTAGATTTTTTTCTTTTGCTGTCTTGATCCAAAATCAACTGCAGTGCTCAGCATTTGTGTATATTCCACAGACCACAGTAGGATGCAGTGGTGTAGATAGACCTAGGACAAAAAGTTAGTATACTATAAATATGCACCCCATCACCACATCTAGACTGTGCTTGTGTTTGTGTGTGTGTGTTGACTACATAACATTACAGTTTTGGAATTTTATACTGTGGTACCTCTCTATTTTGAAGATAGTGAGCTGATTAACCCTTGTGTGGTGTTGATGTGTTTGTTACTCAGTGGATCTGGTGGACCCACCACATTATTGTTTTTTAAATCAATACAGCCATAAGAATTTATGTAAAAATACCAGATGTTTTAAATATCACAAGTGGTCAGCGTAGGGTTCCCCTTTTGCAGCTGTGGCCAGTCAGCAGCCTGTCCATGTTGTCCACCCTCACACCCTCACACACACATATACAAACACATACACACAGACCCACACACACTAACAGCAGGTCATGTAAGAGGAGAACAGTGTGAAGGGACACAGCACCTCCACACTTTTATTCCCCGCGGGTTCACCCCAACACCACATGTGTAATGTAACTGTGTAGGGGCTGACTCAAGGTTAATTATCATACACATCATGCTAAAGAAATATAACATCTTTGCTGACATTAGTGTTTCTTGCTTATGCCTGTAGCAACTCAGTGCTCTTTGTTTATTAAAATGAACATTCACAGGAATTTTCATTCACAATCTGTCTATTACTTGAAGTCAAATCAGCAGCTGTGTGCCTGACAGCTGGTTGAAGACTCGAACACTGTGGTATCCTGTGGTGGTATCCATGAAAACCAGACAAAAATGTGTCACAGCCAAGAGCTATCTCTTTTTGCCCAGGGTCTGGACATTTATAAGTACCTCTAATATTGTCTGTACTATTGCCCTAATGTCTGTAATCTAAAGTCTTCAAAAAGAATGAAAAAGAAATTTATTAATCATCTTCTGAATTTGAGAGGCCACTTGGATTACAGTGGAGATACACATAAACTCATTATTAGGCAACATATAGGCAACAGCTTAGTAAAAAAAAAAAAAGTCAGTAAACAGGGCACATGTGCATATATGCCCAGCTACAACACTGGTAGGATCATACAGTACACCTGTCTGCAAGCTCTCCACTCATTTGTTTCCTTGTTTAATTTGTCACACATCTGTGTCTGACCAAATGGGTGAGTACATGTTGCATAATTTTTTGAAATGCTTTAAGCTTTGTACAGGGTTCTGATGAAGTCATCATCACACATAACTCCCTGCTGACATGATCATGTATTTAAAGTGCTGTATGTGTTCTCTTGTAGAGTTACTCTATGGCGGTGTATCTGGTGAAGCAGCAGTCGTCTACAGCCCTGTTACAGAGACTCCGTGCCAAGGGCATCAGAAATCCCAGACCACTCCATAGCTCTCAGTAAGAACATTCACTAGTTACTGTGCGTGATCTAGGGTCAAAACAGGCATGTATAGCTAATTTGAACAAAGCAGTCAGTGTTAAAAGAATCAGAAGCTATAAAATATTCTTTGTATGTCGAAACCTGTCTTCATTTGTCAGAAAGTGTCATAATTGCAAAACTCCCATATAATCTTCATTTGAAAAAAAATAAATAAATAAATAAAAATAAACGCATATCCAACAATATCATGGTCTGGGTGAACAGATTGCTAGGATTTTATTCCTTAGTCAGCCTCACAAATCTTCCAAAATGCTTGAATGGCCACATATTCCACGCTGCAGCCTATAAACTGTCTGAGCTAGCTTGTTAATGCTAAAAGAATGCTCCTGTAATTGCCACAACAGGTTATAAATTCTAGTCTAATAGCACCTGGGCTCAAGGCAGTTGTACCGAATGCTCCAGCTTGCTTTTTCTAATTTATTACCATGCTGTCTGGAGACCCTGATAAATTATGTGTTAGCATGCTGCAGCAAAGCTGCTGTTGAGGCTGTGGCTAGAAGCTGTCTTTGTAGGTAACAAGAGTAAGGCTGAATCATAAATGGTTCCCTGCTCCCTATGTAGTGCACGATGTAGGTCATGAAATAATGCCTTCTAAACCCAAATTTTGCTTTATATGTCAAGCAGAAAGGCATTTGCGTTCAGTCATTAGCTGCATGACTCTCTGTTTAACATTTTAGAGCGCTATATGGATGTAGAAGCCATAGTTCCATGATCTGTGTAGTGCACTTTATAGGGAGTAGCAAGCCATTTGAGATTCACCCTAACTCCACCTTCCTATGTATGTGGAGAACTTCCACCAAAGCTAATTTTTTGAGTAGTTTTTTTTTTTTCGTGTGTGTGTTTTTTTTTTTTTTTCCACTGGGGTCATGTTGGCTAATGTAGACTGGTCACGATTGCCTGATCACAATTATTTGATCTGATTTGATTGCAGTTATTTAAATTGACTGCAATTATATTGCACAGTTGTTGGCCCGAGTCAGATGTTTATGCCACAACCAGCAATGTGAAGTAGATGCATTTTCATCAGTTGGGTTGAGGCTAATGCACACATACAAAGAAAGCAGAAAACACATTTGCTGAGACACGTCATGTGACTTTTCTTTATTTAAGCTTGAGTTGTTTCTGTATTCAGTTGCTAGCTACTGAATATGGACAATTAGGAAATAAGATGGCTAATCAGCCATTTTGGCCTCTTTAGGCTTGTATTTTGATAGTTACTTACAACAAAAAGACAATTAAATTGCTTTATAATTTAAACATTCATATGGCAATTAATCGTCTGATAAAATTTCATGGTCGTGACAAGCCTCATGTCAGACTGCTAAAATTCAGCTTTACTTTGTTTTTTTCTTTTTTCCATCTGTTGTCACTGAGATGGATATTTGCAAGTCTGTACTTGCAGTCTTGAGTAGAGTTGCATTTTCTTGCAGCATGCTGTGGATTAATTTGGTATTTGGTCACATGCTAGACATATCTTTTTAGCTTGATTGAAAATGTGTTTTCTCACTGCCCGAGGATAACACTGTCTGCTTTTTCTGCAGTCAAAGAAAAATTAACAGCTGACCCAGACAGTGAAATTGCCACAACCAGTCTGCGAGTGTCGTTACTGTGTCCGGTAAGCGTACATGCTCATACGCACATCCTTTTCTTTTATAAGCATCTCACATGTCTGTACATGCAGTCTGATAGCTCAGAGCCTTATCAGGCCTGAAGCCTTAAGATTCATGCCTCTGTTTTGAAATGCCTAGTTTCAGCTTTGTTCAAAACAGCCCTCTGTTATGAAGGTATTTTGAAATGGAGATACTTAAACAGTGATTCATGTATGCAAAACTTTCTCATTAATCTTCTTTTGTCAAATATACTCTAACTTTTAAAAGGTTGGAATGACAATTCAAAAGTGTGAGATCACTGTTTTCAGTAAATTTAAAAAAAATATATGAAATGATTCTATTACGATGCTGCTACTCTCCAATTTCAGCTTTCAACTGTCTCGTATTTGATACGTATCAAATGTATGTTATCATTTAAAAAATTTTTGCATTACCAAAAACTTGAAATTTTGTTAAACATGTTAAAATATGCTTCTTGTGTCTAGATTATAGTATTTCAGTCTACGCTGTATAAGTTATTATTGCATTAAATAAATTGAAGAAGCTTTTATGTGTGTTCTCTGTGGCTCAGATCAAGCAATTTTGACATTTTGTACTCTTTTCTGAAATAAATGCAGAGCGTAAATCTACCTCTGTAATTTGTATTGTGATTTTATCCCATGCGGATTAGGCATAAATAATACAGACATCCTATGGTAAAATTACATCACCCCACCCCACTTACATCACCCAAACTAACCCTGTCTGAACAGTACCTTTGTCAGTCATACTTTACTGTGCATGTATGTGCGCTTCCTTGTGGAACTGATATTACACTCTTTGCTTTGTCTCTCCACCTGTGTGTGTGTGTGTGCGTTGTCTATGCGGGGTGTGTGTTTTGCCTCCATGTCTGTGCGTATGTGTATGCAGCTGGGGAAGATGCGGCTGTTGATTCCATGCCGGGCGGTGACGTGTTCACACCTGCAGTGTTTTGATGCCACACTCTACATCCAGATGAATGAGAAGAAGCCCACCTGGGTGTGTCCTGTCTGTGACAAGAAAGCCCCCTATGAACACCTTATTATTGATGGGTATGACTGCCTGCAACACACACAAACATATGAACATCTTCATTTTCAAGGGTGTAAACCAGTATACTCTCAAAAGCTCAGAATCACCCTCCCTCCCCACTCCCCTTTCTTTTTCTTTTTTTTTCTTTTTCTTTCTCTCTTTTACTCTGTCTCTCTCCCTCTCTCTCTCTGTCTGTCTTTCTGTTTTTCTCCCGTCTTTCTCTTTTAGTCTCTGTGTGTGTCTGTGTGTCTCTATCTTTCTCACCCTTTCTCTCCTTCTCTGTCTGCCTCTCTCGCTCTCAATGCAGTGTTTTATCATGCTTTATTGGCAAAAATGTCATATTTTCATTAATGCCAAAGTAAATTACATATGCATTAAAGGTAACATAAATGAAAAGCAAGGTTATTAGTCATGAACAAAGAACAAATGGGTAAAGTTCACTTTTATCACTATTGTTTTGCCTCTCTTTATCTTTCTCATTCTGTCTCTCACTCTGTAGGTTGTTTATGGAGATTCTAAACAGCTGTGTAGACTGCGATGAGATTCAGTTTAAAGAGGATGGGAGTTGGGCCCCCATGAGGTCGAAAAAGGAGGTGCAGGAGGTGTCTGCTTCATGTAACGGCGTAGATGGTAATTACCTATTTGTAATTTATATGTGCTTGTTATATAGAAATTGTTACTAACACATCCACACATTCATGTAGAATTAGTGAAAAAGTCTGCAGTTTGGTAACAACAGTAAGAGTAAGAGTTTTTCTTTTCCTAAATTAATCTTGGACTGCCTCTGTGTTATCTGTGTGTGTGTGGGTTTGTGGTTGCCTGGCCTAGCTTTGCTTACAGAACAGTGCGTAAACAGTAAGTCGGGTGGAAAAATCAATGCCTGTAACAGCATTTACACTAAAAAGATTTCGGATGTGTAACAGTAGGGGTGTGGGAGGAACAAGCTAACACATTTTGCTCTTTGCTTAATAATCTTAAATTATTTTGTGCAAAATTAATAATACTTTTATGTAAGCAACGTATACTTCTCTGCTAACAAACATAAACATCATTCTTAGCACCTACTGTTTTTGAACAGATGAGCCAAAAGCTAAATTAGTGCAAAAGTTACAGCTTACTTCATAGGCAGGGCTAGTGGTAACAGTCGCTAAACAGTCTGGTAAATCAATGCAATTCAATACTAATACTATTCCAAGTCATTTTAACCAAAAAACCTCTGCAACCTAAATACAAAAAAATGTGAATATGATTAGTGAAAAGAGGCTGAAATGCAGTTACTTGTCGATTGTAAATTCTTCTGGATATTAAGGGGTTTTTTTTTATTTGCAGTTTTCTCCAGACTAACAACATGAAAGAATTCCTCCTTAACAAGTAAAAGAGAACAATCTCTTATATTCCATTGTATTAGTCTATTATAATGATGTGAATGTACAACATGCATAAGTGAAAAGCCTATCAAACTAACCAAACAAATCCATCTCATGGACTTCATGCAATAATGAATCAGAGAAAAAAAAAAACCTGAATATGGCTGTTCAGTTAGCAAGGCTCTGATAGTTAGCCAAAAAAGACCCATAGTCTCTTCCGTAGTCTCCAGAGCTGATACACTATCTAAGGAGAAGCCATGTTTAAAGTTTTTAAACCCTTTAAGAAGCCTCACTTACTGTTCAGTGGTGTTACGGGCACAGAAATTGTCAAAGGCTATGTTCATAGCCTCAACTCATTCATCTCATTCATTAAAAGTTTACTTTCAGAGGTCAGAAAAGGTTATTTCAGAACACATCACACTGTTGTGACATGGTTTCTGCAGATCCTTAAAAAGTCTTATAATGTCTTAAAATAGGTGTTAAAATTATAAGATCATAGACGGTCTTAGAATGTTTTATTTTTTACTTTTAGCGGTATTAAAGTTGAGGATGTCCGTTCCTTAGTGGATCAGGGATTGTCTCTATTAAGTCTCTTTTATTTCTTTTTTGCTCTCTGTTTACTCCACTGTCATTGAGCAGACAACCTGCGGCAGAGAGTGCGTTTTCAGAAGCAGTCTAAATGTCTGGAGTCTGCAGTGGAAAATGCATAGTATAATATCTGTAATTCTGGTGTGTCAACTGTGTTTGAACTAGCCACCTTTCTCCTAAACATAGGCGTGTAAACTGTGAATACATGGCTTACACTCCAAGTCTGGATTCTGCCAGTTAGTGCAAGAACCAAACTATACAAAACTGTATTAAACCAGCATTAGCAGGAATGGTTCGCTGAAGGAGCAACTACTATAAATATCAGAGTGGTATTCATGACGCTTAGTCCACAAAAAAAGATATTGTTCAATTTGTATACCACTATGCAAATATAGAGGACAAAGTGATTTAACTGTAGAATTTCAAATAACTAGTAGCCAAATAGTCAAGGAGGTCAATATTAAGCTGTGAATGATTTTGACAAAGTAGACTGAAAATAAAGTAGGCCGATATTAAAGCACTCAGATTGGATTAGGAGATTAGGAGACAAAAAAGGAACCTCTAATTAAATTGTGAGATGATGCCTAAAGACCAACTGAAAAGAGTCAATATGTATATTAAACTAATTCCAAATAGTCTGCCAACTAAAAATATAAAAACAACAGTGAACAACAGAAACTGACCACTGATGAAGAGGTAGAGGACAGCAGAACTGACAAAGACACAGAAAAGACTTCTGTATGGATTGAATAATCACATAGCTCAAGTCCATATATGTTTGGGGAACATACACAATAGCACAAGCCATATTTGATTGTGTGTATTGTTGTGTGGTGAAAAGGGTATTAATTCTGCTTTATTGAGGTCCTAAAAAGGTATAAAAAGCATTGAGTTTGATTTTAAAAATTGTGCAGCAACCCCATGTAGGAAATATAGAAAATGAAATTGCAAATGAAAAAGCAAAGACCTGAAAGAACCAACTTTGGTTTAAAAGGCATACTTGGTTATAATCATGTGCTTCTCTTAATTCTATTCACTGTTTTCTTAATTGTAATTGACATAAGACTTGAGATCCCAACTGTAACTAGGGGTTTTAATGTGGATTATGTGATAGCCTGCTTGTTGTGATCCATGTGTCATGCTTTTTTGTGCTAATATACAATCTGTCTTTTTCATCTGTTTCATTTTTTGTTTATATTTATTCAAAGTTTACTAACATTGCTTAAATTAACATTCTTTCTTTTGTGAAGTATATGTCTTGATCTTTCTTAGTTTTCATTATGCTTTCACCTTTCTTTGGCTTTGGGGATTTTTTGTAATCCTAAATGTAAATGGGTTTCAAGAATAATTAGGAGAATGTCAAGTGTGCTAATATTATATTAAACTTTGTAAATTGCCTGTCAGAGAATGTGAAAGGCATTAGTCATCCAATTAAGCACAAAAAAATCTTTCATCGACCATAACATTGGAAGAAGTTTTCGAGGAGACTCAGTAAAATGACTTTGAACATCTGAAACTTCAAAGAGACGGAGCTGAGCAGGCTGATGATGGTTAGCAGCTCTTCAGTAATTGAGTTGAGCATCAGGGCAGTAGATATAGTTTTCTGTAGTTATAACCAGTTGTAACTACTGCAAGATATGCACAAAATACTCTGGTTATATTGCTCCCTACCGTGACTGCGATACACTTCACTATGCATTACAAACACATTGGTGAACCTTAGATGTGGGGTATTATAATTGTGGGAGAGCTGGGTGGTTGTGGGCTGTGGCTAGAGATATTGTAGCTTGGAAGACACAAGAAGAATGAAGGATAGAGTATAGACAGAATAATATATAAGAGCAATATCAGTGTGAATGAGTCCATCATACACATCCTGCCTCCATTCTCTTCCATGTGCTCATGCTGGCAGGCGGGTGTCGGACATCAGCTTCAGATCAGAAATCCAACTCGCACACGAACAGCAACAACAAGAAAGTGGAAGTGATCGACTTGACTCTAGACAGCTCGTCTGAGGATGAGGAGGATGAAGAGCCCCCTCCAAAACGAAGCTGCCCCTCTCTCTCACCCACCTCCCCACAGATGAATAAGGGGTGAGTATGTATGAGAAGTTCTGAATTCACTTTGGCATTTAAAAGCTTGACATGTTTTTGCTGATGTGAATGGGCAGTTACAGTCAAAAGTATTGTATATAGTCTGCTCATTGTAAACAAGATGTTGCTGTAATGTGATGTAATTCTTGTCCTTGTTTATTTGTGTATAATGTTTTTAATGCTATATCCTTGCTGTGTACCTGTGTAGGGATGGACGTTTTAGTTGAGTTTGATATTTGAATTTGTAATGTATTATTTGAAAACTATTAGCAAACAACTCGCCACTTCAAAAACGCCACCAGAGACAGGGGTGCCACTCTTATGCTCCATTCACATTTCCATTGAAAAAAACATCGTTCTCCACCTCATAGTGATACGTGACCTACAGCGGCATGAAGCCATGCAAACGTTGACATGGCGACAGTGTTACCGGCAAAAATGAATGGAATTTATTTAAGGTAAATGTAGGATAGTCCATACATTTTTAATACTGGGTTCGTCTGTAATTCAACAGATTCATAAACACAGGGCTACTCTTACTGTACTATATTATTCCCACACTCAGACCACAAATCCATAGTGGATAACGTGGCTTGAAATTTACAGAAGATAAACGGATGTGTCATCTTGTACCTTTTAGCTTGGAAAACTGTGAGTTTGTGAAGTGTTAGTTAGCTGATACCAAACCGGATAAAATCGCTAAACAATAGTGAAAGTTTTATTCCATTAAGTCTCTATCTATAGTGCAAAATGGGCTTTAGCTTGGTGTTAATCTGCGTTTTTCTGCGACGCTTCCTATGTGCTATACCTGCGCTTTGTAATATCTGCTCCGGTGCCAAAATCCGCTGGCATCGTTCTCGTCCAGTGTATGAAAGCTTTTAGCCAGCTGCAGTAGATTTTCTTTGCTTCCTTCTTTAGACTAAATAGATCTGGTCACAACATAAGACGCAGGCTTTACATTGCCATTTGATGGAGTATAGTGTCCAGGCATCACTTTGTTGACCAATATGAGAATGTATAATGTTAAAGAGTAGTTATTTTGTGTATAAAAAAACTAAAAATCAAAATTTTGTGTAAACTTGTCATAACTGTTTAAATATTCGAAAATTCTGACTCTCATCCCCGTACCTGTGTGTGTGTGTGTGTGTGTGTGTGTGTGTGTGTTGTTGTTCTATAGAGTGTTAAATCTGTGTACGCAGCCATCTCCTGTGAGTCGAACTCCCAGCATGCCTCAAGTGGAGACCAACTACATCCCCCCTCCACCGCCCCTCATACAGGACTACCGTCACTATTATCCTACCCCCAACGACCTGTCAGGTGTGTACACACACACAACACACACACACACACACACACACAGAAATCCACATTCATAGAAATATTCTGAAAAGTAGAATATCGCTGTCGTAAGAACACCCTGTTATGTCCTAAACATCTTGTCTAACATTAGTTAATGTAACTTCAACTTGAAAAAATTTCAGAATTGACTTATTTTACCTTGTTAGTTTATGTGCTCTTTTACATATTTTCATGAAAAATATATATTGTGTTCATCTTCCTAATTTCTCATAAAGTAATAAAATAGGCCGATATCTCAACAAAATACTGTCAGCATTTTATCACTTTACATACACACACACACACAAAACACACAAAGAGTGTGTGCTGCCTAGAAGAATTTATTACATTTCAATGGGAAGCCACTCTGTATTACCAGTGTTACCAGCGGAAACTCCTCTCAGAACTGATTTGTTTTTGTTTTGAATAATTTGTCAAAAATACACAGTTAACAACTTGACATGAGTGTGAAAGAATTGGATCAGATTCATTGTATTTTTCCTCTGATATGCGATCCAGCATTTTCTGCTGATATCACCCCAATACCCATCGGTACTGATATGCCATCTCTACTTTTGACTTTGGTTATGTCATTATATATAAGCTGGCGGTGGAAAATAATATTAGCCAATAATAATAATAATAATGCCCCCCCTCCACCACCCCATCTAGCATCAGGCAAGAACACCTTCCCTGATAATGTGTTGCACTTGGCCATACATCACTTGAATTGAGGTTTTCTTATGAAAGAAAAGAAAGATTTAGAAACCCAGTTCCAAAAAAGTTGGGAAAGTAGGTAAAATGCAAGTAAAAACAGGAAGCACACACGCACACATTATTTCAACCGCTCATCCTTCTGGGGGGTGCTGGAGCCTATCCCACCGGTCATTGGGCGGAAGGCAGGACACACCCTGGACCTGTAGCCAGTCCATTGCTGGGCAAAAACAGGAAGCAGTGGTTTGTAAGACTACTTTGATCTGTAGCCGATTGAAAACATTACAAAGGCAAGTAATGTAATGTAATGTAATGTTTTACCTTATCAACTTGATTGTTTTTTGTAAATATAAGCTCATTCTGTTTTTGGTGCCTTCAACATGTTAGCACTGAGCAAGTAAAAGACTAGTAGCATTGTAAAATGTTCAAAAATCATCTTAAACAGGTGATACAGTCACGCTTGGGTATAGGAGAAGCATCCAGGAAAGGCCTAATCCTTTATGAGCAAGGCTTAAAAATAAAGCTCACCAATTTATTCAAAAATACATCAGCAAAAAATCCATCAGTTTAGAAAAAACATTCCTCAATGACCAATTGTAAGGATTACATCTCACTACATTGTATAATATCATCAAAAGATTCAGGGAATCCAGTGAAATTTCTGTGCGAGGCCAAAAACCACAACTGATTGCTCATGACCTTTGACCGCTCGGACGGCACTGCATTAAAAAAATTCACGCTTTTGTGATGGATGTCACCACATGAGCTCAGAAATTCTTTGACAAAATGTTGTCAATAATTACCGTCAGTCGCTGCATCCACTGGTGCAAGTTAAGACTGTGCACAGCAAAAGTCATATGTCAGCAGCTACTGACTTACCTGGGCTCAAGCTCACCTGAAATGGACTAATGCACAGCGGAAACATGTCAACCTTTCAAATGGAAATAATGGATGTTGTGTTCTCCGGACCAAAGAAGAATACAGCCAATCCAAATTGTTACCAGTGTAAAGTTCAAGAGCAGAGTCTGTCATGGCATGGGGGGATATTAGTGGGTAACTTCTAGCCACATTCTGCATGTGTTTAAAACAGCATGGCAGAGAGTGCAGATGCTAGACTGGTCTGCCTGCAGTCCAAAGCTGTCTCCCATTTAAAATGTGTGTGCATTATTAAATTCAAAATAAAACAGTGAAGGTCCGTACGGTTGCACAGCTGAAGGCTTGTATAACAGAGGAACAACAAAATCTGATTTCAAAACTGGATCAGTTTGTGTCTTCAGTCCCCACATGATTAGTTAGGGAAAGATGATGTAACACAGTGGAAAACATGCTCCTGTCCCAGTGTTTTTGGAATGTGTTGCAGGCATCAAATTTGGAATTAACGTATATTCGTAAAAAAACTTCACAGTGGAAAACATCAAATAATATGCTTTTGCACCGTTTTCAATTTAATACAGGTCAAACAGACATTACTAATCACTGCTTTCTAATTTTATTAGCATTTCATATACCGTGCCAACTTTTTTGAAACTTTTTTGTAAAAACAAACTTTGTCTTGTACTTCATATGCAATATAATGACTTGGAAAGTAGAATGCACACACATGCCCTAGCAATATTTTAATATTTGGTGAACATGGTAAGTATGAAAATAAAAAGAGTGACTTATATTCTTTCTATTTTACACAGATCTGAACTTTTTCTCCTTTTTACAAGGAGAGAATCATCAGGTAAGAGTGGTTCCTTTTACACACATTTCCAGAGACTTAAATTGTCAACTAGTAGTCAAATTGTTTAAATGAAACCTGAAAGCTTCTTTTCTTTATTCTCTCTCAGCACTATAACATGGTGATGGCAGCGGCCGCATCAGCGTCTGAAGACCATGATCTCCTCCTGAACCGTTTTCTGCCATACAGCTCGTCGCAGCTCTTTCTGGACCCCCCCAGCACCCCAGTCAGCAGCAGCGCCATCCATGCCCCCGTTAACGTCAATCGCAGCAACAGCAGCAGCTCCAGCGGCAGCCTGGTGTCATCCAGCAGCCTGCGAGAAGCCCACGGCCTGCCCGCTGTACCCCGCTCTGCCTCCGACACGGCCATGGCCACAGCCATATATGGCTCCATCCCGGATGTTATCTCCTTAGACTGATCCACGTTCACATACTCCAGCGCCAAACAGACTGAGAGACACTCAACGTTGGCAGGAAAACAGTACGAAAGACCCAGATGAGAAAAGTGAGGGTTTTTTTTGTTCGATTTTCCAAAACAATGATGAACGTTGCCGTGTACAGAGAACAAATATATTTTCAGTTTTACTTTTTGTATATATAAACTCGAAAGACATTTTTTTCCTATTCTGCGAATAACGAAGGGGTTTATCTTTTGTTTGTTTTGTTTTCTTCCAAGGAAAAAAAGACTTTTGATTTCATCACAAATCTTCATTTTGTTGTCCCCTTGATTATACTGCTATTAATATTTTGTATCTTTTTAGATATTTTTTTGGCCACATTACATTCAGTATCGTTTCTAATTCCTCGTCAAAGGTGCAACCCTCCCACACAAGGACTTCACTGTCCTTCAGCCAGTTGGTTGTCCGCGTCTCCAGATGGACCCAGACATGCTTCTCTGCTCAGACTGACTCTCTTGAGCTGGCAGTGTTTTTCAATTCGCAGATGGTTTTGTAATACTTTTAAATTATATGAAGTATATGAACTGTTAACAAGCATTCCTTTACCTTCAGGAATATACGATGGGGAACGGATTAATGACGATTGACTGCCATTATTATATATTTTGTTCTTAATCGCTTATTTATACTTTAGAGCAGACGGATTGTGCTCTGCTTGTACTGTCACGTGTCCGTCTTAGGAATTATCTTGATTGAGAATTAGTGTGGAACTTCATCTTTGATTTCTCAGACCACTTTTGTTTTTTGATTGCACAATGCCAAAAGCGACGCCACAGAAAGGCATCCATTCTTTCTCGCTTGCTTGCTTGCTGTCTCATTTGCTTGTTTCATGCTTTATCTGTGACTCATTTTGTGTATTTCTCTCTTTTTCTTTTCTACAGAGGTTCCACAGTGTGCCGGCCCGAAAGGTTTTTGTATTTCTGATGAAAAAGCTTGGTTAGTCTGAGTGAAAAACTAAGAAACAGGGACCTAGTTGTGTCTTAACTGATTCCATTTTGGACTATAAAGTATTTTAAAGGAATACTTCAGAATTTTTTACCCTAATCTCTGTCTGCTGCATCTCGATGTACTTGATGGACAGTAATATTCCTATATTTACAAAAGAACAGAAATCAGCACCTGCTCATTGGCATCTATTATGAGCTATAAGCATGTTTTGAAGCAACAGGATTTCAGTTTTTCTACTGAGGACAGGGAAATGGGTTGAAATTATTGTTTGAAGTAACTGATCAGAGATAGGGATGGACATTTCACTCAAATTTGATACCAAATTTGTAAGGCATTATGCGAAAAATAGTTTAATAATAACGCACCAAACTCATCAGGCTACTAAAGACAGTGATGCCACTCAGGATCACTCTGAAGCCTTGAAGATAAACAGACAAATGCTGTTTATAACTCAGCTAATGTTACTAGCCAAGTCCCATCGTAACATATTGCATCACATAACTTTTAGGTATCCTTAGCCTTTATCCAGCTGCAGTAGTCTGTCTCTGTTTCCCTCTTAAGATTAAACAGATAAACTCTGACGCGTATGGTTCTACACTGCCCTCTGGTGGAATACAAAGTTCAGACATCTCATAGTTCTTCTGTATGAGAATCACAGAGAGAGCAGCTAATTCCTAATGCTAGAGATGCAGCTGATGAGCTTACATTGAAAAACACTGGAGTGTTCCTTTACCCCAACTTACGCGCTCACCCAATCAGTTCAGTGTCCTGTTGGGTTGTTCAGGGTCTGGAGTCTTGCAGCATTTTCCAAAAGACACACAGGTCTTTTAAAACCACTCTTCATTATCTTTTTCTCACTATTTCTGATGACTAGTATTGAGTTGACGGTAACTTGTGACCTTCACAACTGCTCCCATCCACAAATGGATTTGGCCTTCATAATAAATAAGTAGATAAGCTAGAAACCGTATCTACTCACAGCGCTTCCAGGTTAAACATTGTGGCTTTCAACAGACACTTTTATCAACAGAACTGCCATGAACCCTCCTCTTTTTATAAACCACTAAAACTGATTCATCGTAATAGAAGAGAGAGAAAAGGCCTACTTCAAAGTGTCTCTCTCAGAATATCAAATAACATCCTGACCTGGATGTGCATGACTGTTCTCTTCACGGCTCGACGCTTTCTGAGTTAAAAAGAAAGATATATTTATTTAATGAGTGATTTAAATTAATAAAGGTAAAAGGTAACTTTTTTGGCCTGTGAAGATTCAGGCTATTTAAAGCCTCCTATCAGCCTGCTTGTGTGTGTGTGTGGTGTGTGTGTGTGTGTGTGTGTGTGTGTATGCGGTCTGTACTGAGTAACTTGAGTTTTCTGGGCCTAAGCAGTGTCCAGATTTTGTCCCAAAGCCTAATTGCATTTCTGACTGAGATAATTATGATAGGATCATTATGTCCTTATTTAGCCTCCGTAGCGTGGCAGACTGATTCTCTCTCTCTCCGGACCATTTTTCTTCTAGGTGCATAAAAAGCCGCCAGTATTTTTATGTGTTGTTGTTCTACACTGAAAACATGCATTAGTTTGTTTGATTAAAACATCATTTCCACATGCCGATATTATAACACAGTTGAATCATTCAATTGACCTAATTTTGGAAATTGTGTTGATGTGGTAGATTTTATTCATGTGGAAATGAATATACAGTACTGGGCAAATGTCAGAGACCACTCTTCATTTATTTAAGTTCTAGTCAAAACAGCCATGAAGTACTTGTTATTTATTTTTAATGTATTTCAGATATTTGTGAGGTGATTACATACAAACAGTCCACAGTTGTATAAAGAGTTTCCAAATCTAGAGTACAATAAATTATTCAAAGATGTAAAGAAAATGGGACGGCAAGATCTGCCAAGAATTGGTAGACCACCAAAACCGTCACCATCAGATAAACAGTATTTAAAGCTTTCAACTTTGAGAGAGAGGAGGAAACCAAGCTCCACTCTTGCTTTAGATCTGAAAAAATCCACAAGTGTTTCTGTCCATCCTTCCACTGTGAGAAGACAACACTATGAGTCTGAAAGCATGTGTAGCTGTCAAGAAGCCCTTACTGAGAAAATGAAACAGACTAAAAGAAGAACATTTGCAAATCAAACAAAGAAGCTGCTGGTGTTCTCAGAACAATGGACTGGCCATCTCAAAGTCCAGACATCACTGAGCGAGTTTGGGATTACTCGGATTTGTAAGAAGTTGTAAGACTAAAATTTAACGGTGTGGAAAAATATCTTCTAGCGGATTTCTTTGAAAAACTGAAAGCCATAAAAAATGAAAAAAGATGGACAGACTAAATACTAGAAAATATTATATTTAGTTGTTAAGGCTTCTGGAATTTTCTGTTAAGTGTGTATTGTCTTTTTTTCCCCTGATGCTGAAATTGAATAATGGACATTTAGTGAATGAAGTGTGGTCTCTGACTTTTGGACAGTACAGTATGTTTGAGTCAATTCATTGCATTATTTTTCAGTGTATGCTGTTATAAAACAGTATTTAAGATGTTATTTAAGGATTTCGTTTCTTGTTCTTTTGTAATTTAACTGCATCATTTTGTTTCAGATTGTATTGTTCGTTGTCACTCAGTAGTCTAACGACGATGTCTAGAAAAGACAAGCCGTTCCTCAGTCCGTCTCACATGTAACCGACATGTTAGTAGTTTATTCCAGTTGACTTGTTTTAATGATTATTTCTCCTGTGTCAGAGACCACCCATTGGGGACGTGAGCTTTATTCACAGCCAGAGACAAACTACAGGCTGCAGCTTCGTGTAATTTTCGCTCCCGTGCTTTGCTGGCGGTTATGAAACCTGCTCTCAGTCCCCCGCGTCTCTGACACCGTTAAACACAGACTTGTCACATTTGCTGAAGTAACTGATGCGGAGCGTGTCACATTCAGCACCAGACCAACATTAAATCAATCTGTGGTTGCTATGGTGACTGAAGGCATTTGTGTCCCTTGTCAGTTGACCTCAAGTTGCTTAAAAGTACGACGTAAAGCTACAGCTGTGGCATGTCTCAAATAGCCTTTGCACTTATTATTGGAAGCATAAGGCGTAGTCCAACATAAACATATCTACCTTCTAAAGGACTTATTCTTATTGACTAGTATTTCAGCAACGATGTTTTTTCTGGTTCCCTTTTATTTTATGTAAAATGACTTGGAATTACTTGTTACACATGAAAGAGCAACAAAAATTTGATCATTATCTTTCATGAAATGAGGTTGATGTCAGTGTTTTGCAGTGATTGATAAAGGGAAAGGTTAAAGGTGGGGTTGTGTGTGTGAGTGAGTGAGTGTGTGTGCGTGTGTTTTGACGTAAGGGTAATCGTGAGAACATGGATGTTTCCGTAACGTGTATTTGTGTTCTGACGTTGAATACCGGAGCATCGCGTTGAGATGATTTATATATTTTTTAGATGCAAAAACTGTGCTACAAGTGGACTTGGTGTCGAAGTCGAATCTTATTTTATTATGTTCCATTTCACATAAGCTGACATCTGCGCTCACTGCCTTAAAATTCACTTACTTTGTCTGTGGCATGTCCTACGAGAGAAAACGGCTTTTTAAGGAGATGTGGAAGAAATATTGTACAATAGAACAATGTCGGTTTGTATAAAGTACTAAGGAAAAAAAATATTTATTACATGCATTGGAAGAAATTGTTTACTTAATGAATGTTACCTGTTTATTTAGAGATGTTTAGATGTAATAAATGCATTGAGTTAACTTTGAAATCCTTTTTTGTTCTTTGTTTCAGTGGAACACGTTTAATTTCAGTGAATCGCTCATAACAAATGCGCACTGAAACTGCTTAAAGTCAGCATGAATTGGTAACTGAAACACATCTTTCATCCTCACTGTGATGTAGTTCTGAGTGAAAACACATTATTAAGGAGGGTCTTTGGGCTAGCTGAGTGTTTTCACTTGATGATAGGGGTTGTGGTAGGGAGAGGGGGAGGTGAAACATGGTATTATTGGTTACCCACCTGGTGCATTGTGTCATCAAAACTGAGATGTTTTAAAGGCAGGAAAAATTCACAACAAGAAAACTTGAGAAAACAAGTACTTTGTCTTTAAAGCGGTAGGATATGATGACCCATGCTTAATATGACCAGAAGCATGAACTACCCAGGTACAAAGAGTCCATTTTGATTTCAGGTTGACTTTAAAGCACTCTTTAGCATTTACATTTTACATTTGAATGGATAGTGATGTATAAAAATTATCATAGAGGGAACATCAAGATACAAGGGACACTTTTAATAGCCTCTTGTTTATGATATTTAGCCAGTTGCATAACCACTGGAGTGACAACGAGGCGACCACACTAGAAATCTTTACTGAGTCCCTCATATAGATCCTGACACATTATACACCCACGAGATCCAACATACCTCTCCAGTTAGCTTTCCATCAACACTACACGGACCTTCCTGATGCCTAATTATCATATTCTTATTCGGAATGTACCACATCCATAGTAACTGTTTCCAAACAGATCCTTCACAACTTGGTATACTGATAATTTATAATTTCATAATCTTAACTGTGTAATCTAACGCAGTGGTTCTCAAACTGGTCCTCAGGGCCCTGAGACAGTCCAGACTTGTGCTTTATCTCTATTTATTGCTAGAAACACCAACTTGTTTTGAGACAAAACAGTAGGGAGTAAATAAACAAGTTACATTGTCATTTCTATTCTCATATTATCATTTTCAATTGGGGGGCTTATTTATTTTTCTGCACTGGGGCCCCTGAGATCCTAGTTATGCCACTGTGCTTGACTTGATCATTGAAATACTGAAAAACTAAACAGGCCTTATAACATGCAGGCCCCATTTTACCATGTAATACACTGTTCTGCCTGATCTGGTGGCCCATAAATACCTGAATCCACTCTACTAACAGACAGGCAGGGAAGCAGAACAGTCTGAGGCGAAAGCACAGACACATTCAGAACACAGATTTCCTCCTTATAAGGTCTGCCTGCACCAGCAGATGGCAGTAAACGCTCAACATCATGGACTTGTTAGATCCTGATGAATACAGAGATGTCTTTTTTTTTAATCAAATCTATTTTAGTAACAGAAATATTCCATCTATGTCAAACTGAATGCTCAAATAATTCTCAATTAAATCCTGTTCTGTTTCATTCAGGCCAGATGTTCTTTCCAGTTTCTGGCTCTGGATTTTGTAATTATTGGTAATGACATACGAAACTAAGTAACCATCAGTTACATCAACAGTTGAACACCAGCAATTATCCGGGACATAAAACAGGTTTCAAGATCCAGAACTGAAGTCTTGAGATTTAGACCGGGAGTGTTCAGCTCTGATCCTGGGGGTCGGTGTCTAGAACAACATGATCATTCTCTACTCAAACACACCCACCAAACCTGGCAATTAGCACTTGAGTTGAATTAAATGTGTTGGAGCAGAAAAAAACATCAAACTGTGCTCTGCTCTTAACACACCAACTAAATCTGGCAATTAACTGCAGAGCTGAATTAGTTGTGTCTGTCCTAAAACTACACAGTATTGTGCAACAGTCTTACACATGAAAGTGATGTTTAAAAGGCTGATTTATTCTGGGTTGTAAGGGTTTTCTGTTTAGTGAAAGACTATTATTAAAACAAATACACATCACAGAAAAAGTACTGACTTTTTGAAAGTCAGTGTTTCCATTTGACCATTAGCAAACGTCTCATTGCGGAAGCCCAGTATTGTTTGTACTTATCATCCAGTGCCTCATTTGGCTAATCGTTGCTTGATCAAATTAACTCAGGTGTGCTGGTGATGGAAGTCTATGCGATGGCTCGGGGGGTCGAGGAGAAACTTGGAACCGAACCTGTGTTCTTCTAATCAGCCCAAAAGATATCAACTACGAGTTGATGCCATTTATGCTTAACTGTATTAATTAATGTTAAAAGGTGTTTTTATGAGCAAAACCAAACACACTGTCCAGATAAACAGCTTCAAACTGTTCAGAGCCTAAAACCAAGCTGTACACGTTTACAGTGCAAACCTTTTAAAGTTATCACATTTTCCGGAATACAAATGATATTTATTTCTATTTAAATATCATTCATTTATTTATTTATGTGAACTCCTGTGCCCTCATGCTAAATATTCAACACCAAAATAGCTCTTACTCTGCTGCAGGTAGTCTGCAAATCTCTCAGTATTTTGTACATATGACTGATTTTTAACCCTCACCTCTGACAGGAAATTTGCTGGCTGATGTCATGAATACAACCTACACCATGACACTTTATCCCCCAGAGCTGCAGAGCAACTGAATACTAAACTGTTAGACAGAATCACTGAATTTAAAGCATGACCTCCAATAACATACCACAGTCAGTAAAGAGAGAGAGAGAGAGAGAGAGAGACAGAGAAAGAGTAAGAGAAAGATACAGAAAGAGAGAAAGAGGAGACAAAAATAGAGAGACAGACAGAAAGAGAGAGACAGAAAGAGTAAGAGAAAGATACAGAAAGAGAGAAAGAGGAGACAAAAATAGAGAGACAGACAGAAAAAGAGAGAGCGAAAGAGAGAAAAAGAGTGTCAAAGAAAGAGACAGAGAGAGAAAGAGCTTTTAGAGAGAGAGAGAAAGGGTAAAAGACAGAGAAAGAGAGTGAGAGAGCGAGACAGATGGGCTGACAGAGAGACAGAAAGAAAAAGAGATTGACAGATTGAGAGATGAGAGAGAGGGAGAGAGAGAAGACAAAAATAGAGAGACAGACAGAAAGAGAGAGACAGATAGGCTGACAGAAACAGAAAAAGAGAGAGAGCAAAAGAGAGTGTCAAAGAAAGAGAGAGAGAAAGAGCTTTTAGAGAGAGAGAGAAAGGGTAAAAGACTGAGAGAAAGAGAGAGTGAGAGAGCGAGACAGATGGGCTGACAGAGAGACAGAAAGAAAGAGAGATTGACAGATTGAGAGATGAGAGAGAGAGAGAGACAGAGAGACAGGCTGACAAAGAGAGACAGATTGAGAGAGAAGGAGAGAGAGACACACAGAGAGAGACACAGACATGCCTACAGAGATGAGAGAGAGAGACACAGAGAGACACAGACATGCCTACAGAGATCAGAGAGAGAGAAAGAGACACAGACATGCCTACAGAGATCAGAGAGAGAGAAAGAGACACAGACATGCCTACAGAAATGGGGGATAGAGAGAGAGAGAGAGAGAGAGAGAGAGAGCGAGAGAGTGAGAGAGTGAGAGAGTAAGGTAGTGATTGGTCCGGCCCATACAGAACTCACCAATCGCGGCGCTCCTGGCACGGGGCGTTCGGAGCGCGCGCGCCATAAGCTGGATTGGTGCGCGCGCCTCGGTTTGGCGCGCTTGATTAGGTGATTTCAGGCTGAGCGCGCGGGACGGAGCGGATGGTGTCGCTCGAACGCGGAGAGCTGAGTGGTCTTCTGGCGACATGGGGAACGCTGAGGTCACGGCGCCGGTGGACGCGGCGGAGGAACAGAACCAGAACGGCGCGCTGAACAGGTCAGCCAGCGGGAACGAGGAGCGCTTCAGGAGCCTGGAGGACATCGACGTGTCCGCGGACGGCAGCCCGGCGCTCCGCTTCCTCATCTCGGTCACCTACTCGGTGGTGTGCGCCGTGGGCCTGGTTGGCAACCTGCTCGTGCTGTTCTTCGTGCGCGCGCGCCAGGACCGGAGGACGAACAAAATCAACTTCTTCATCCTGAACCTGGCCGTCACGGACTTCCAGTTCGTGCTGACGCTGCCCTTCTGGGCCGTGGACACGGCGCTGGACTTTAGCTGGCCGTTCGGCGACGCCATGTGCAAGATCGTGCTCTCGGTCACGGTGATGAACATGTACGCGAGCGTCTTCTTCCTCACGGCCATGAGCGTCACGCGCTACCGCTCGGTGGCCTCGGCGCTCACCGAGCGCTCCTCGCCGAGCACGTGCTCTGCGCGCGGGGTTGGCGCGCTGCTCTGGGCGCTGGCCACCGTGGCCACTGCGCCAACGTCCGTTTTCTCCACGGTGACCAACGTGGCCGGCGAGAAGCTCTGCCTTCTACGCTTCCCGGACGGGCAGCACTGGCTGGCCGTGTACCACGTGCAGAAGATCCTGGTGGCCTTCGTCGTGCCCATGGCCATCGTGTGCGTCAGCTACCTGCTGCTGCTGAGGCTCGTGCGCAGCCGCGGCATGAGGAACAACACGAAGCGCAGGACGCAGGTGACCAGGTCCGTGACGCTCGTGGTGCTGTCCTTCTTCCTCTGCTGGATGCCCAACCACGCCGTCACGCTGTGGGGAGTGCTGGTCAAGTTCAACGCCGTGCGCTGGGACCGGACGTACTACGTGGTGCACACATACGTGTTCCCGCTCACCGTGTGCCTCGCGCACGCCAACAGCTGCCTCAACCCGGTCATCTACTGCATGACGCGCAGGGACTTCAGGAAGAAGCTGAAGGAGCTCTGGCTGCGGGACTGAGCGCGTGCGGGAGCGTTCTTTCGAAGGGCGCGCGCGCCGATTTTCGTCCTTTCCCACGTTCAAACACGACCGGACTGAGTGTATGAGAGGAAGCATCGGAGCGCCTGAGCCACATTCATGAGAGACAGTGCTAAAAAAAGTGAGGCCGCTCTGTATTATAATGTGCAATACAGTCTATGCTGTTTCATCTTTCTCTGACCACTGTGGCAGGAATGTATAGGGCAGTGCAAAAGTCAGAGACCACCCTTCATTTATTTCACTTCCATTGAAAAGAGTCATTATATTACATATAATATATAACACATATACAATACAGGACATATATTTAACAGAAAATGACACAGAAGTCTAATAACTAAATATAATATCAGATTTCCAGTGTGTCCACCTTTTACCTGCATTACAGCTTCCATTGTTGTCACTTGCTTTCACTTTTTAAAGAAATCTGCAGGGATATTTTTTCACATCTCCATAGTTCAGTCTTAGAGATTGGTTCCTTTTTCTGCTTCTCATGATTCTAGTAATCCAAACACATTAAATGTTGTCGAGGTCTGGACTCTGGAGTGGTCAGTCCATTGTTCTGAGAACACCAGCAGCTTCTTTGTTTGATTTGCTAGACCCATAGTGTTGAGTGGTCATCTCACAGTGTAAGGATGGACAGAAATCTGTGAATTTTTCAGATCTGAAGCAAGAGTGGAGCTTGATCTCTCTCTTAAAGATGAAAGCTTCAAGTGCTATTTGTCTGATGGGGGAAGTTTTGGTGGTCTATCAGGTTGTTAGGAGTTTTATATCTTTATATTTTTCAATATTTTGAACCCTGGAATTTTAGAAACTCCTATTTTCACTCCTTTTTTCACTTTGACTCACCATTTCCTTATGTAAGCAACGTCTAATCTGTTTAGAAATATTGCCTGAAAAAATAATAACTTATACTTAATAGCTGACCTCACTGGGCATCAAATAAATGAAAGGTGGTCCATGTATACAGACTGTCCATCTGTGGCTATGCACAATTCGTCGATCTGCCCTCTGCTGTGTCCATTGATGGAATTCTCAGCACACCAAAATGGTAGAGTGTGCTGTGCTGGTACGAGTGTATCAGACACAACAGAGTTGCTGGGATTTTTAAACATTTATACTTGGTGTCCACTTTATTAAACATATCAATCATGTAGCTCATCTTTTCCCATGAATAATTTGTGTTAGTCTTCCTCTAGATTCTGACCACAGGACCACTGCAGGATGGATATGTTTATTTGATGGACGGTTCTCAACACAGCAGGGACACTAAGGTGTGGAAAACATCAGAAACACAGCTGTGCCTGGTAGACTCGTACCAGCGCAACACCCTACAATGTAAGTGTCACTGCTATGCTGAGAATGATCCACCACCAAAATAATATCTCAGCGGTGGTCCTTTGGTGGTTCTATTGATGGATGAGGTAGAGGGGGGCTGATAAATAGTGCAGCAACAGATGAGATACAGACAGTAACTGTAAACCTACACAGTGCGTCTCTATGGTGTGCAAAAATGGTCAATAACTATAGGTACAAGGTAGATGTATGTAATAAAGTGGCAACTCAATATGTATGTATGTATGTATTTACTACATCTACTTTGTACATCCAGTCATAAAGAGAGTAAAGGGCAAAAATTTGGGCACCCCTGGTCAAAAGACATGTTGTTGCTTTTCTTAGTGAAAATAAGTTAGCACATCCTCTACAGAGAAGACACTTCTCAGCACAAATAAATAAATTAATTAAAAAAGCATAACTTTGGCTTGTGTAAATACATTTTTTCCAATATGTTAAACTGAAAAAATAAATAGATTTAAAAGGATTTTAGAAGCTAAAATTTACAGAAAGTATGTTCTCTGTAGATGATGTATTAACTTATTTTCACTTAGAAAAGCAACAAAACGTAATTTGATCGAGGGTTTTCACACTTTTACTTAAAGTATATACTTAACCAGAACATTCTGCCAAGTGGTCAGAGAAATAGATGTGATATAAGTGGTCAGAGAAATAGATGCGATACAAGTGGTCGGAGAAATAGCCGTGATACATATAAAAGGCAGAGATACTGGTTGGCACAGCTCAGTTCGTTAGGCACCGTTGTCCATTGCTCCTGTCTATAGCTTATTGTGATGTCTCTAATTGCTGCTGCTGCTGAAGTGCACAACTGAAAAAGATGCTATTAATCCTCACTTCACTGTCCAGTGTGAGACACACCAGGCCTAACAGCTACTCAAGATACCACAGATACAGTTACTCAAGCTTGTATTGTCAAAACTGTGCAGTAACAGCTCTCAGAGGGGGTAAAATGGTTGCTCTGAAAGGCAAGCACATTCCTGTTGCATCTAATGTCATAATGCAGATGTTGAACTCAGATGCAGTAGAGAGAGGGTCATCTACGACCAGAGTCTAGCACAGGAGAAGATAATTTCACAACTTGGTCACACATGCAAGCTAAACCTGGTTATTGATAATCAGGTGTGTGTGAGCAGTGAAGTTGTTCAACTTTGCTGAACTCCTGAACCTGTGAAGGAAATGAATGCAAAAATGTTAAAACCTGACCTAAAACAATCACCAAGCCAAAAACGTGCAGGGAAATACTGAAGTCTGCATCAGACTGGTTGGAGGAGGAATGTGTCTCTTTTTGTTCTCTTTGTGTGCTTTTTTTCCCTTTTCTCTGAAGGGAAAACTAGCATTTTGTGTCATACGGAAACTTGCTGCCCTTTACATTATGTGAACATTTGACAAATGGACCAGAAGAAATAGTCCAAACTGAAATGTCACATTAACATGCGTTCTGTTTAAGGGGAGTCCCACAGATTTAGGAAAATTTCTGCATACTGCAGTTGTGATGTAAACAAAGTCATTCAGAGTGGTTTGATGTGAAATGGTTCATTATATAGAGAAACTTGGATTCCTTTACAGTGGTGGTGATAAGAACCAGACAATATGACATTGACATTTTATTTGCTATCCTAAATGACCAGTGAACCCACATGTGTCTTTCAAGCTTTTATGTGCAATGTTGATGATGGTAAAATAGAGGTAAATCAGAGAAAAATAAGTTTTCTTTGGGTACTATTTTACCTGGCAATGCCTTGCATGTACCTCTCCACCATTAATGCATCCATAAAATATATGAGCCTCTCCAATGTCCACAGTTTTTTTAGATTATGTTATTTTAATTTCTGTTTTATTTTGTACAAGCTTTTACAAACTGTGCTTTATTTAAATTTTAGTGACCTCTTTATTTTTAATATAGGGCATCAAAAAATGCCACAACATACTTATATGACTTTTACAAAAAAATGTCATATATTTTACAAAAAACATTATCCCAGAACAATGTCTCTGGCATTACGTAGCTTTTAGAGGCATTACATTCTTCGGATGTCTGGTTCCTATCACCACCACTGTGATCAGTCCTGACTCAGTAAATCTCTCTAAAACGGCACATTTCACGTCAGACTACTTGGAGTGACTGTTTACATCTCAATTCCCCTTTCAGAATGCATTTTTCCTCGGCCTTGAAAATTTACCGTTTTGAGGTAAGAGGTTTTATTATGACAGCATTGATCTCCCCTGTCGATTTCCACCTTGCTGTCGTCCTCTCCCAGACTGTCAGGTCTGTTTCATTCTCAGATCTCTTCAGACATTGATAGACACCCCCTACAGATATACAGCCTGAACTCAGCGAGACCTGTCCTCAGAGAGGGCGTCTAGCAGCACCAGGCAGAAACGCAGCTCATTTCTTTCTGGCAAGACCCCAGCTTTCGGCATTACGGCTTCCCGAGGTCTTTCAGTCAAGCCCCCTCAGTGCCGCCGGTGTCGACTTAATTGCAAGTTCATCACTGAAGGAGGTGCTGAGCGTTCAGTGGCTTAAATCGCTCACAATAAGACGTAATCATGTTTTGAGTGCATTTTGGCACAGAGCTCCAGCTAAGCCCATCTGGTGAGGCTCTAAATCACACACAGCTGCTGTTAAGGGCTAGCTCACATAGAAAGCCTTGCCTGTGGTTATTTTCACACTAAACCAAGTGGATAGCAGCCCTTGCAAAAAATCATTAGAATCAACACATTTATTAGACATCTGTAATGTCAGTAGCAGAGCCACTTGTGAAAGTGGTTAAAGGGAAGAATGATGACGGACACTGTAGGGTTCAGCAGGTTAACTGTAGAACAAAAACACTTCCATCTTCTTGTGTAACACATCAACATAATAAAGAACCACTGAAATGGAAACAATAGTATAATCACAAAAATAATCTCGTAAGTCTCGTATTAAAGAGGAATTCCACTGATATTTCAAGATTTATGCATTATTAAATGGTTAAGATGTCAACAAAAGTCATTCAGTGTGGTTTGATGTGAAATGCTCTATTCCAGGGAAATTTGCCCAGTCAGAATTCGCAGTGGTGGTTATAGGAACCAGACGTCTGAAGTTTATAATGCCTATAAAAGTGACCTCACAGAAAAATGTGGAAATGCTTATGAATATGTGGTCTGAAGCCTAAGACACTGTTTTACCATCCTTTTGAAATTTAGAAAAGTTATTTTGGCATGAAAAAATTTAAAATACATGCATAAGAGGCACTACTTTTTTACCCTCATTAACATTACATACAAAAACTCTGAAGACACATGTAGGTTTAGTGTTTGTTTAGGATATTGATATATCACCATCCGAATCTCTCCCAAATGAACCATTTCTCATCAAAACACTCTAAATGACTTTGTTTACATCTCACCAACTGCATTATGCTGCAATTTTAAAAAATCAATGGAATTTCCCTTTTGATATTATCACAGTGTTGTCAAGACTCTTCATAGCATTCAAATATAATGCATATGCTGTTCAGCTGGCTGTGTCTGCTTTAATAAATGCTGTATAATGTCATGTCTGAAAAATCAGCTTTGCTCATACGTTACTTGTCGTGATGTCATGACGTGCACTGCTTGGTCAGATGTTTTTTTTTGATGTGAAG